CTGTCCTCCGTTTCTGTCATTTGTGGCCCGTTTCTTTGTCTCTGCATTTTGGCTGCTTCCCTGTGTTGATAGGGTGGCTTTCTGTGCTAGGTGTCCTATAGGGCCCAGTACCTCAGCCTCCCCAGTTACCTGAGGTAGGCACTCTTGGTGCACCCCTTTATGGGCTTTGTGCGAAGTCTTGTTGTAGTTAAGCCTTTATTGATGTCGGGAATATCTGGGGTGATTTGACCTCCAGGCTAACTGGCTATGAGTCAGCTGTGTCTGCAGTGGGAGAGCTTCTGTGCTGGATCTCTAGGGCGGTGCTAATCTAGCATTTGCCTGAGGCTATCCGGCAAATGGCTCTGCGCAGGGCTTGGGTAGGGCGGTCCCCGGGGATCTACAGGGAGGAAGGAGCGAGCAGTTATGGCTGCTCTCAGTTCCATCCCTAGGGGCTCTGCCTCACAGAGTCCCAGCAACCGCTGCAAACCTCAGAGAGAAAGCTGCCTTCGGGTTCCGACCGAAGCCAGACAGTCCCACTTCTCCCGTTTGAGTCTGGGTCCCTCGAGACTCGCCCGGATCTGGAGCTCAGAGTCTGAGACTCCCTCCTGATTGAAAAAACAACCGCGCCCTCCGCCGCCAGCCCGCTCCATGCGCACTTCGCACCTGAGTATTTCACTTCAGCACTGCGCCTCCTCTGAGTCTGGGGATGATATTCTCTTTCCTCCTAGTTGTAGAATTTCCACTCAGCCAGCCTTCCTGTGGTTCTGGATGATGTCCGTTCCGTCTTTTAGTTTTATTTTTGAAGTGGTTGTTCGAGGCAGCAATCTCCAGCGTTAACCGATGCCACCATCTTGGTTTTTCTCTGAAGTCTGTTACTAGTTTTTCATGTATTTTCCCATCAATATTTTATGGCAGACACTGCTTGGTTGAACCTTCAATTTCATTGTTTTATTTTTTAAGTGATAGAATCACCAAAGGTTAGCTAATACAAAACCATTCGTGAGAAAGACTACATTTCCCAGCCATCCTTGCAATCAAGTTCAGCCCTGAATCCTGCCCAATGGGATATAGGCAAAGTTGATGTGTGGGAAAAGTACACTTAGCATTTGATAAAATTCAACATCTTTTAATGATAAAAACTCCCATCAAATTAGATGCAGAGGTGTTGGCATAGATAGCTAGATATTAATAAAGAAAGGGAATCCGACATTATTAAGCATAATAAAATAGGAAACTGAATCAGACAATAAGCCTGCTGGATTCACTAGGAAGTTACAGCTCCACATACTCCCCTGGGCATCCTCTACCCTCAGGACCTAATGCCCTAAGAGGGCAGTAAGGATCATTACCAGGGAAAGGAAAAAAAAAAAAACACAGGAGAATTCCTCTGCTGGCACATGCCTAGTAGAAGCCAAGATGACACAAGAGAGGTGCTTCTACTGTGAGGCCTGTGCCAAAGGAGCCAAGATGAGGACCATCTATCCTGGGGAAAGGATCGGGTTGGATAAGGAACACAGAGCCCTGGAAGATCTAGGAAATGGATTGGTTAAGGGAGGACCCAGTGCTAGCCTGCTAAGGATTGAGAAGTTGATTGGTTAGTTTGAAGAGATGCCTAGCCCGTCCCTAGCCTGAGATAATATAACCCAAGAGCTCTCTCTTATGCACTTGCTCAGTAGCGTGCATTTCCTCTCCATAGCAGCCATGTGGCCCTTGCAGCTGCCTGGGGCCTGTGGCCACATAGGCCTGGGCACAGCGCTGGCCAGAGCACAGCTGGGAACACAGCCTAACCTGGCTGGATGAGGACAGAGACATTGACTGAACCAATGGCACAAAATGTCTGGACGCTGGCCCTATCCTGGCCTGATGAAGACAAAGTCGTGGCAGGATGGGTGGAGATGGGACACCAGAGCTGACCCCGGACAGTCCTTTGCGTTGCTCCAGCTTCTTCAATAAACCTCACCACTGAGCCTTTTTCTCCCTGGAATGCTTTTCTCACGACCCCTTGAAAGGACACCATTTCCACTGGCAACATCAGTACAGTCTTCAACATAATAAAGACTGTACATGACAAGCCCACAGCTAA